GAATTCCAAGCCATAAGACTTGAATTCCAGTCTTTGGTAAGCCATTTCACTCATTCACTCAACCAATATCCACTGGGCAGACCAGTTGCTTGGGGCATTGAGTTCGCCAGCCCGGAGCATAGATTCTAACACAGGAAACAACAATGGACCAAGTGTGCAAAACACGTTCATCTCAACCTATACGGACCAGACACATGCATATTTTGGGCAAGTTTACTTTCAAGACGTTTTGGGAAAACTGGTGATTACAGCGCTGCTCCACTCACAGGTGGCTGGGAAGGAAGTGCTGGTGGGCGAGCAGGTGTATCAACAACACTGCATTTGCCCATTGGTATGTCGTTAAAAAATGAGCACCGCGCCTGAGCTGAACACGTTTTCATTAAGGTAAGGAAACGGACGTGACGCTCCCCTGCGTCCTGAGTATTGCTTCACATTTTAAGCAGGAACGATTCCTGAGTAACCCCCATGCACGTTGTCCCAAAGGACTGCTCTCCGCTCGCCCTGGGATGAGCCGGCGGAAACCAGAGGCGCAGAGAGGCGGCCTCTCACCTGGCGCCCGGCCAGGAAGGTGGCCGAAGGGTTCATAGGTGTTTCCTTCGCCCCCGGAGACAGTCGGTGTGCGCAGCGTCACCTTAGAAACGCCATCGGCGCGCCTGCCCGGAGCGGCGGGGGGCGAGCCCCGAGCCCCGGAGCCCTGCGCCCTCGCCGGCCCAAGCCAGCCCGCCCAAACCGCCGACTCCGCGGAGCGCGCCCAGCCCGCTCGGCCTACTGCGTCGCCGACGGGCCGCCCCGGCTCTCGCGAGACCCCGCGGGGGGCTGGCTCCCTCCTGGTCTCTTGGGCGCGGGTCGCGCCGCCATCCGGCGTTTTGTTCTTGCAAGTCTGGAGACTCTCGAATGGCTTATCTGGCGATGTAAAAGCCGTTAGCCGCGGCCCGCAAAGAACCGCTCTTCACCACTACCCGGAGAATGATGGAACAAATGAACGGCCGTCTCTGCTACATCGTCCTGGCCTATGTATGACCAGCTGCTTACAGATTCGCGTCTTTCCCTCCTAAACTGTGAGCGCTGTCGCCTTAGCTGCCCTGCACACCCGGATAGGGAAAAGAGTCAGTATCTGGCATTCAAATAGAGGGAGGCAGACACCACCTCTGGTAGTAGTTGATAGTCAATTGCTGACCAGCCCCGCAGACAGTTCTGAGAATCATAGATGAAGAGAGGAAAAAGTTTGTTTTTTTTTACTCTTGATGTAGCTCTTTTGTTAAATAATGAGGTACCCCTTGGGGTGGGCGTGCACCCTCTGATGTACATCAAATGACGAGGTGCACCTTTTGGGGTAGACGTGCCCCCTTAGGGTGGACGTGTACCCACCCTGCTGTTCAGCCTGGAAGGGTGCTGTCCCTCTTGGGGGGTGCCCGGGCTGATTTTATCAGCCGCTGGATGACTTGACTCCTATTGTTAAATCAGTCCCTATAAGTCAGGTGATTCCCATTGATTCAGTCAACCCACGGTATTGTGACTCCTATATATTAAGTTCAGTTGGTTCAGTCGCTCAGTCGTGTCTGACTCTTTGCGACCCCCTGAATTGCAGCACACCAGGCCTCCCTGTCCATCTCCAACTCCCGGAGTCTACTCAAACTCATGTCCATTGAGTCGGTGATGCCACCCACCCATCTCATCCTCTGTCATCCCCTTTTCCTCCTGCCCCCAATCCCTCCCAGCATCAGGGTCTTTTCCAATGAGTCAACTCTTCCCATGAGGTGGCCAAAGTATTGGAGTTTCAGCTTCAGTATCAGTCCTTCCAATGAATACCCAGNCATCAGCATCAGTCCTTCCAATGAACACCCAGGACTGATCTCCTTTAGGATGGACTGGTTGGATCTCCTTGCAGTCCAAGGGACTCTCAAGAGTCTTCAACACCACAGTTCAAAAGCATCAATTTTCCAGCGCTCAGCTTTCTTCATAGTCCAACTCTCACATCCATACATGACCACTGGAAAAACCATAGCTTTGACCAGACAGACCTTGGTTGGCAAAGTAATGTCTCTGCTTTTTAATATGCTATCTAGGTTGGTCATAACTTTCCTTATATGTTAAACCAACTCCTAAATCACATGAGTCGCTGCTGATTAAATCACATCTCTCAAATACCGTCACCCACACCCATACCCACCCCCGCCCCCAGTTAAATTGAGTCCTTAAATCGCCTAACGTTCATTGAACCAATGAAACATCTTAGGTTTCCTGACCCCGCCCCCCCAATTAACTCAATCTGCCTTACCTCTTGGGACACACATTAAGGAGACTGACTTAATTATGGTCACTATATTTACTAAGGCAGATTCAATCAGTGGGTGTGCTGTCCCCCTTGGGGGGGGGGGAGGCGTACACCCCTTGAGGTAAGTCAAATGATGATGTACCCCCATGGGGTAGAGATGCACACCCTGGGGGTCCTGCCCCCAGGGAAGGGGGTGGTTGTGCACCCTGTGTGGGGAGACCCTTGGCACTTTATCCTGACAATATTTACCATGTTCTGAGTTGAGATTAAGATTTTCTTCTCCTGATCATAGTCACTCCTTCCCCCTTTTTACTCATTATATAGGAACTGGACTATAAAAAAGTAATGCTTATTATATTTAACCTCTGGTCATCCACCCCTACTACTTAACCCATAAGATGGCAGTGCTGGCAAGACAAATTCGTAATAGTATTTCAACTTTACTTTTGGTTGACCGTGAATTAGCGAAACATGCCCTCGTGTTCATAAAAGATAACCTGAACATGGAAAAAACAAATTTACAATTTCTTACCTTGGAGCTTCCCTGGTGCTCAACGGTGAAGAACCCACCTGCCAACATAGGAGACACAGGTTCAATCCCTGTTCGGGGAAGACCCCACATGCTGCAGAGCAACTAAGCCTGTGCACAACTATCAACCCTGTGCTACAGAGCTGGGGAGCCACACTACTGATCGTGCTCCACAGCAAGAGAAGCCACCGAAATGAGAAGCCTGCAACCAGAACTAGAAAGTAGCCTGCACGCTCAACTACACAAAAGCTCTTGCAGCAATGAAGATCCAACACTGCCAACATTTTTTAAAGGGGAAAAAAAAAAAAATTCTTACCTTGAAACTTATACTGAGTTGGATGACACTTGTCTCCTTAGGACAGGCTCATGTTCAGGAGAACCAACAAGACAATGCCTTAGAATTTAAAAGTCAAGAAAGCAAATGCTGACTAGCTGTTAAATGACCTATCCATAGATGACTATGCAGTAAGTTGTGGTGGTGGGATGAGAAAGATGAAAAGGAATGAGATTGAATGTCAATTTTCCAAGTGAGGAACATTTTAATTCACATGCTTCTCAAATTTCACTTTTGTAAAATTTGGGATTTTTAGGAAGCCAACTCGATGGACATGAGTTTGAGTCAACTCTGGGAGTTGGTGATGGACAGGGAGGCCTGGCGTGCTGCGATTCACGGGGTCACAAAGAGTCAGACACGACTGAGCAACCGAACTGAAAATGTCATTCTTTACCGGGCAATCACATGCCTAATACTCACTTTAAAAGTACAAGTATATGAAGCAGTAAGAAATGAGGCTGATTTTTATGAGTTATGGTTGCTAAGTACCAACTGAATGTGGGTAAGAGGGCTATTATGACTAGTTGCAAATCAAAAATCTTAGTATTTTAAGGTCAAAAATCTTTTTTTTGGTCAAAAATCTTTAAAGAGAAAATATAAGAATTAAACTGCACCTAGTTATGCATTAATTAAAATTGATGACCTCTACAGACTCATTCCAGTTTCTCTACCATATTTCCTAAGTAAAGGCATTTAGTAAATAACAGAATCTAAAAGGTATAAATTGTTTTTTAAAAAATTGTTATTTATTAATTTTTAAGAATGAGAAAGCTACCATGGATTATACCTAAGTGACAGCTGACTTAATGTTATTTAGCAACTATTTAACAACTAAAAAGGAATTTAAAACCACACATTGCCAGCACGTTCTTTTAAAATAAGACACTACATACCAAAACTGTATTTGTATTTGAAATTGCCAGCTTAATCATTGTAAATCTCTTACATGTATTATAAGGCTGTTTAAAGTATTCTTTTTGCTAAAAATACTAGATTGTGAAAGTATTTACATAATAAAAGCATACACAGAATATATGAATTCAGCCGAGTCCTTGAATATATATTTTATATATATATATATATATACATATACATATATATATATATTTTGGCCATGCCATGAGGCTTGTGGGATCTTAGTTCCCTGACAAGGGATTGAACCAGGCCACAATTGTGAAAGTGCTGAGTCCTAACCACTGGACAGCCACAGAATTCCCCTTGAATAATAGGTTTTAATCAAAGATTAAACAGTTGCATTTTAAATTTCAAGTCAAAGAAAAAGATTCACACATATACACAAGGACAGTTTTAATCCTGCATTTTCCTGCAGTAACATCCACTGTGGCTATAAATGGACTGAAACTGCATTTGCCAAGAACTGTGAACATTAAGAATCTTTACATGAAGACACGTGTGTTGATATAAGCACATAGACATCTTCCAGCACCAAAAAAATACATACATAACACATACCAAGTGGTCTTAATGGATAAATTTGCTTCATTAGATAATTTTATTTAACTAAATTCACAGTTAATGCAGAATTTCATTTTCTTAATTTACATCTTCATTTATACATTCTTCCTAATGTTTCAATTACTCAAAAACCCATTCATTCATTCAAGATGGTATTCTGCATGGCAACAGACAATGGGTTCTAACTTTCTTAAAGGTGTTGACAGCAACTTAAAATACCACTGAGTCTTCTTTCCAGTTTGTAGCACCAGACTTAGGACCTTTATAAAAACAGAGTTTAAATTCATTTAATATATTCATTAAGATTCATTGCCATTGCTTCTCTTCCGAGAAAAACACATTTCAATTGCTGCTTCCCAGACTATACTGAGCAATAGTGTATATTATTTTCAAGTGGTTAGCAGAATTTCACTCACATAAATTTACAGCCAGAACAAGAACTCAGCCTCTCTGAATGGCTGTCCACTCAAGACGATGAAAATAATGTACAAAATGGATTTGGGGGTCTGACCTCCTCCTTAGCATTATCAAACACCTTTCCAAGTATTCTTAGAAAGTATTTTAAAATATATGCAAATATCCTACCATATGACACATTATCATTTCTTTAACCATTTCCCAACTGTGCATTTATAATCATTTGCAATTTTTTAAATATTATGAGTAGCACTGTGATGAACACCCTCATTCATAGTTTTAAGACATTATATCTTTAGGATAATACCGAAAAAGTAGGTCAAACAGTGCAGATGGTTTTAAGGCTTTTAATATACTTTACCAAAAAATCTCCAGAACAGCTTAAACAGCTGTTACCAACAATATGTTAATATGCCCACAAAGTGAACTTGGTTGGTGACCATGAAGCAAATTCAACCATAGATCCATGAGATATTCAAGCATCTCAAAACTACCACACCAAAGAAGCAAGGAGATAGTTATTACTGGTGATGAAGCCAAATTCAAATCTTTAAAATATCACTCAGCTAAAAAAAAAAAAAAAATCATTTTTGATTAAATTGTGATTATTTAAAAATAATCAACAGAAAAACTTTCCACAGAAAATCTAGTTTTTCCAAAAAAGTTAAAAAGAAAGAGAAAAGTCAGTACCAAATGACCAAAATTTTTTATTTGACTAAATTCTATCTCATGCATATGCATGACAGTCTCTCCTGTTTATTAGACTTTGGCAATTAAAAAAAAAACACACCAAAAAACAAGCAGCCTTGTACAGAACAGTGAAAATGCCAAGGGTGAGGGTAGGCTACAGTTTTACTGTAGGATAAATATATATATTTTTAAAAGGCCTCTCTCCCTTTGGCCAACAATCAGTTCAGATCATTAAATACAGACACATTTTCAAAATCACTTCTTCACTTCTCCAAGATCTTCAATGCTATCATCATCCACCTATAAAACACAAATAATTACATTTCATGAGCTGTGCTTAGCAACTAACACAGAAGCAACTGCTTTAGTAACTTACTTCTATAGATGCACAGGTTCCAAATACTCACCTCTGGCCATTTTTCCTGAATGACATCAATAATGTCATCTGTAAAGTCTCCCTGAATGATGATTTCATCCTCCCCTGTTACTGAGGCACCACAGGAGAATTTCTGAGCAAAAAATCTTTGTGCTTCTTTAAGATCAATTTCTGTTATTTTAAAAAAAGAAACAGTGAGACTATAACCGGAATCATACATCAAAGAGTATTTTTCCATTTTGAAATTTAATCTGCATTTTAAATTCATAAAACAGATCATATTAATGGGTTTCACCTTCCTTTCAGAACAGTAATTACAAACTACCCATAAGCAGTCATCTGAACAATGTAACAATGTAACATTTTTAAGGTCAGATAAAGCCTCAGTATAGAAAAATAAGATCCATACTATTCCTGATTCAAGACCAAAATAAATCCAGGAACACATGAATTCCAACATTACATATACACTTCCAAGTAAATGAAGTTTCTTGTGGTTATCCCTTTACAAAGGAAGACACTTCGCCACTAACCACCTTCCCTTACTTTCTACTGTAATCCCAGAGAGGACACGTCATTTTGCAACTGTTTGGCTACTGAGACTGGGAGGGAAAGAGCAACAGTGCTGGTAGACCTCAAAGGGAAACCTGTCCAGCCCTCATTCTAGATAAAATATGCACAAGCAGAAATTCTGGAATGGAAAAAGTTAAACCAGCCCCTTCTACAAAAGATTTTTAAGATTTTAAGTTTAACTGTAGTTAGAAATCCAAAATCTCATATTGTATCCTTCTTAGCAAAAAACAGAACTGTAAAATTTTCATGGTACTAGATTAAAAAGAGATAATGAAATGAATTAATGAAATTTTAAACATACTTAAGCTTGAACTCACCAAAAGTTGCAAGGCCACACACTCTTGTTACATATTTCTTCTTTGCTCTGGGAATTTTAGCTATCGTAACCTTTTGTGGTACAGTTTTCTTCTTCTGTTTTATTTGACCCCTTCCACCTTTATTTATTAAGAAACAGTTCAGGATTAGTTGTTTTATCATAAATAGAGAATACTATCTTTAAATATACTGATTTTCAAAAGGTATGAAATATTTCTAAAGTTTCTTTTTCTAATACAAAATTTATAAACACATGCGTGAGTATTCATTCAGTCAATACATATTAAGCAGTATGTGCTGTGCACTGCAATAAGGGCCAAGGACACAAAGACACAAAGAGAACAAAAACAGTCCCTGTCCTCCAGAGGCTCTCAGTCCAGTGCAAGGAGAAAACGAGTTAAACAATTACAGCAATCTGGTATACACTGAAATAGGATCCATGAGCACAGCACTGCCATAAGCTCTGCAGAGGAATGGCTTACTCTACCTCCAGAGGACAGAAAGTTTCCCAGAGAAAGTGGCATCTAAGTGCCTGCAAAATAAGTCCATCTGAAGGGAGACTGGCTGGTGGAGATAAAAGGAAACAAGTACAGAGACAAGAAAGGATGCTGTAATTGAGAACTACACTTCATCTTTTGGTGTATTAACAGGAAAGTAGGATTTATTGGTTGGCGTAGTAAGGAAAAGACAGTGCCAAGGTTCCTATGAGTGCAGGGCCTGCCACTTGTCCAGGGGGCCATGGTTAGGGTTGTATTTGACCCCACAACCATCTGGGATGAGCCACTTTTCTGCCACCATTCAAATTCATTCACATTAAACAGTAAATCCCCAATTCTTGGTGATGTGGATCGTCTGGCATCCAGGAACTTGAGCTTGGCCCTGCAGAGCACCTCAATCACATGCTCCTTATTCTGTAGCTTGGTATGGATGGACATAGCAATTTGACCAATGTGGACCCTGGCCACTGTGCCCTGGGGCTTTCCAAAGGCACTTCACATACCTGTCTGGAGCCTCAACTGGGGTGGTCCCATAGGCACTTGGTCTGCTTAGGGCAGATGCGAGTGTCTACTGGAAAGGGCTGTCTCCTTAGGGTGACCCATATAGGCCACAAGCTGAATATACTACAGAGGAGTTAGTGCACTGTTTACAACCACTGCACACTGAGCCCCCATGGGGAAAAGAGCATGGTTGGCTTACTTGGCTGCAAATACACTTGTCTGAAGGAAGCTTATGATACGTAGGAAAAAAAGCCAGATAGACAAAGATTATATACCAGTCATTTAAGGACTAGCACACCAAGCTGTTATACTGCAAAGAAAAGAACCCAGCAAACAAGTGACTACGCAGGAGTGAAATCATCGATTTATGGTCTGTCAAGATCATCATACCATGTGGAGGGTGGGTCTGTGAAGAGCAATGAAAGGCCACTGAGGAGCCTCCTACATTAGTTCAGGCAGAAACTAATCAAAATCTAAATAAAGCAGTGGCAACAACAGCAATGGCCACTAGGTACAGGATAAACAGAGGAATGAGAAGAAATCACAGAATTCAGAACTGATTCAAAGGGGCAAAAAGAAAGAAACCAAGACGGGTCTCAGGTTTTTGACTCAAATGATTGGATAAACTGCTGTCATTAATCAAAATGAAGAAAACAAAAGATGCAGATTTAGGACTTAAGTTTACTTTGGAAGTACTGTGTTTGAAGTGCCTAAGGGACCATGAGCATTTCTAGTCTAGAGACATGATCCAGGACTAGATTTGGGAGTTCTAAGTGCAGAGTAGGGGCAAAAGTTAAGGATGCAGAATCATCCAGGGAGCATATGCAGAATGAGAAGTTAAGTGCATAGAGTCCTGGGAAAAACACCATTTTTTAAAGGGACAGAAGGGAGAAGTCTACACAGAAGCCTGAGGAGGAAGGAAACCAAAATGAGGGAGCAAGCACAACACTTCAGGGAGTGCTGAGACGTGCTCTCATCACTGAGCAACCACCCAGCCACTTGTGATCCTTGTCAGAGGAGTTTCAACGGCATGAAAGCCAGGTAAGGATGGACTGAGGAGTGAAGGCTCAATGACAACTGAAAGGAGGATAGCTGAGTCTAGTCTGAGCAAGGAAGTCTAGCTAAGAAGGGAATGGGGAGGAGAATATGGCAGAGAGAGACACTAGTTCCTAGGGGAATGTTTTTTTGTTTTTAATGTGAAGTCCTAGAAAATATTTATAAGCTAATTTTAGTCATGGGAGAATTAATTTAGGAAGAAGAAACAGGCAGGGATAGATACAAGGCACGAGAAATTCATTTTAGAAGGAGGAGAGGTAGCAGGTATATTCATCAGTTGTGAAAAGAAAAATTCAACTGAGCTGACAGAAATAAGGAAAGAACAAAATCTTTTATAAATTTCCTCACTCTAATTAAATAGAATACACAGATATTTTTATAAGGTAACAAAATTTTTAAGTCATAAACAAGCTGGCTAGCTGCTTTTTAGGTATATACATGGCAAATGAAGCACGTTTCCTTGGGTCCAATTTACTGACAGAGCCCAAATCATAGGAAATCCAGTCATCCTGAGAACGATTCTATACCCCTCTGTATGGTATTCACACAGAATGCAGTAACAGGAAGATGTTATTCAGTTTGGGAATGCTTTCACTTCTTATTTCTTCTAGTGGTGGCTGTTGTTTAGTTGGTAAGTCATGTCCAACTCTTTTGCGACCCCATGGACTGTAGCCCGCCAGGCTCCTCTGTCCATGGGATTTCGCAGGCAAGAATACTGGGATGGGTTGCTATTTCCTTCTCAAGGGGATCTTCTCAACCCAAGGACTGAACCTGCGGGCCCCTGCATGGCAGGCAGATTCTGAGCTTTCTGGGAAGCCCTCTTCTAGCAGTATGTTTGTAGAAGTCAAATCACGCCTCACCTCTCTTTTGTTTTTTCTTCTCTTCCTCTTCCCCTGCTGTTCCTTGACCTTCACTAATTCCAGCTTCTTGTTTGGGTGAATTTTCTAGATGTAAAAACAAAACCCTTATAAGCATTGACATCACTCATACTAACATTAAGAAATTACCCCTGAGAAACCTCATACAGAAATAAGGTATTTTTTTTTATTTACTTATTTTTTACTTGAAGGATAATTGCTTTACAGACAAATAAGGTATTTCACCAACAAATGAGTGTAACATTTATAAAGTCAGTGATTACATTCCTGGACTCCTATCAGGCCTGATTCTGAAGTCATTATGTTAAGTGTATGGTGACAGAAGCCACATTAAAGAAGCATAAAACCCTCAAGACTCCACAGGAGTGTTTAGCATCAAGCATACTGATTCTGTTAACAGAAAATCTAGTCCTATATATGAAGATATGTCCTAAGCAAGTCACATGTTCAGGGCCCACCAGGTAGACTGACTGTTACATCAGATTTGAGGGTTCTTATCCAATCACAGACAGACCATGTTGTCTCAGGGGTTGGGCCTCATGGAAAACTATTTGAAAATCAAAGCAGCAAATAGCAGGATGACATTGGGTATACTTCAATAGCCCTGTTTCTGGCCCAGGGTTTCCCTTCTTGCTACTGCCTTCGTTTTTACCAGTCTTGTAAGAAAAGCCATCAATTTGTTAATTGAGGAAATCTGTTCTTCTGTAGTTTCCCTTACCTTTGGCAACAGCAACTCCAATCTAGTTGCTTCAGTCAAAAGTCTAGCTGGCCCTTTTCCTCACATCCCACATGCAACACATCAGGAGACCCTGTCAGCTCTCCCTTCAAAACATGTTTGGAATCTGACCACTTCTCACCACCCCACTGCTACCATCCTGGAGTAGGTGGTCATCCTCCTGACCCAATCGCTGCAAGAGCCACCTACTTGATCCCCCTGCTTTGCTGCCTATGCCTCTCCTCAGTCTTTTTTTTTTGGCCATGCCACGCAGCATGTGGGATCTTAGTTCTTTGATCAGGGATTGAATCCGAGTCCCCTACATCCCTGCTCTGGAAGCCCAGTCTTAACCACTGGACCACTGGGGAAGTCTCTCTTCAGTCTATTTTTAACATAGCAGCCAAAGATGCTGCTGAAACAAGAGTCAGACCTTATCATCACTCTTCTGCTCAAACTGCTTCTCATCTCACTCAGAAAAGCCGAGACTTGCTCTTTAAGACGTAGTCCTTCCTTACTTCTCTGACTTCACCTCCTACCTTCCCCCACCACCTTCCCACAAAAAAAAAAAAAAAAAAAACCAAAGTCCTCCTTGCTGTTTTCTAAATATGCTGTATGTGGTAAGTGTTTGCCTCAGGGTCTTTGCACTGGTTGTGCTATCTGCCTGGAAAATTCTTCACCCAGATATTCAAAGGACTCTCTCCCTCACTTATTTTAGGTCTTTGTTCAAATGCCATCTTTTCAGCAAAATCTTTCAAGATTTAAAATTCCCTCCCCCCAAATTCTTATCTTTCCATTCCCTGCTTATCATAATTTAATGTATTTATTTCATTTGTCTTGTTTTACTTATTTTGTCTCTCCTTCTATAATTTCCAAAGAGCAGGTCTTTTGTTTACTGCTTTATTCTCAGCATCTAAAAGAGTGTGCAGCATATAGCAGGCATACAAAAAATAATTTGTTAAGTGAATGAGTGAAAATATATATCCCTAAATCATTTACTCTTCTTTATATAAGAAAGTTGATATTTTGACCTATCCTATCCAGAGATAAGATTCATGAAGAGGTCCGTGATTTTATGTAAGAAATCAATTAACCCAAGAACTTAAAATAGTTTTAAAGTCAATAGACATAGATATATAGAGTGATACGATTCTGTTCCTACTAGAGGACTTTTGTATCTTTAAAATAATGCCCTACATGCATCTGTTTCAGGTGTACAGGTTGTGATGAAAGAAAAAAAATGTTCATACCTACAGTAAGTTTTGCAAACTCATTTGGAAAATTCTTCTCTAACCATTGTCTACATTTAGCAACATCAGGCATATATTCACAGTACTGGAGAGGGGAAAAGAACAAACTGAGTCACAACAGTATATTTTTAATCATTTTAATTAAAAAATCATTCCCTGTGCTTGCTATTTATAGAATGATAAAATCAACTACTCCCACCTAATGTCTCATCCACAGAAAATCTGTATTCAACCAGGAAATGTCCCATAAGAAATTAAAAATTAAAACACATCTCCTCACTGCAACAATTTATTTCCTCTCCAACAAACAGAAGGGCCATTAGAAAAAGGAGGAAACAGACAAAAATAACCACAAGTATTTCTTGCTTCAGACATATAGGTGTCTCATTTTTATGATCTGCCCACAGAGCCTGACTTAGAAGCTTATCAACAGAAAACCTTACACATAATTTATGCTTTCTCTTCTCTGTTTGGATGTTAAACTTTGACTTTAAGGTCACTTTTGTTTTACTAGCTAACTATTCATGAGCTCTGTGCAAAAATCCAAACTATGTATAGCCAAGTGCAAAAGATGCACACATACGACTCAAAGTCTAAAAAAAACAATTTGTAAGACCATAAAATCATTCTAAACCAAAGTTCTCTATAAAAAGTTGAAACTCTGCCAGCAAATAACAGAAAATGAAAAATAACAAAATGAAGTGCCCAAGCTAGCTATAAAATCAATGACCTCAAATTTAAAAAGAAAAAAAGAATTTGAAAAGAACTTACCTCTGTTGGTAATGAACAGACTGGGGAAATGGAGAGAAAAGATTTGAAAATATAAATAAATAAATAAGTACACACACAGGACTTATTTTTAATTTGACAAAATGCTTCATTTCTATTTTTTCCTATAACTTTTCTATACCACTTTTCAAATACTACCCCCATCATGTGCTTTTTTGAGGTTAATGGCACAGGGTTAATAAAGATACTATCTTGATTTCTTTTTTTGATCTAAAGAACAATGTCTCCTTCAGTTGCTAAAACATCAAACTATACTATCTGGTATGTCTTAAGGTTTTACCACAACCACTTCAATGGGTCGGAAACTAAGCTAGGATGGGAACAATTACCCATGCAACAAAGCTTAAATGGAGCTGGTTATTTCTTTTGATAACTTCACTAAAACAGCCGCTAATTTTCGTTCATACTAACAGATTTACAGACTTCCGTAGCACTTCTGCTACCATTTCTCTGCAATATAGTTTTCCTCTCCTTTTCATGTTATGCTATACAAGATCATGAAACTGAATTTCCTTCCTTCAAAGGGAGGTTGGTTCAGTCTTGTCACTAGATAGCCGGCAAAGGCTAAGGGACTAGAAAACTCAAAGTTTCCCAGTTTTAACTGTAACTCTATTACTGGGTCAACTGCTTATTTTATTTTTTCAACTGCTTATTTTAATTTTTAAGGTGAGGAATGGACTAGTTCAGTCGGCCCAACACCTTGAGGCCTGTGAGGGAGAGGACGGTTGGTACACCATTACTAATAACAGCAATTACTATCTACTGGGCACATCCCAGGCACTCTGTATTATGTTTCATCATCACAACCCGATAAGTAAGAGTTACCATATGTTTATCATGATTGAGAACAATGAGACTTAGAACCAGTAATTCATTTGCAACTGGTTAGAACAAGATTTGAACCCTGGTCTGTTTCTGAAGCTCATGCTCTTAACCACTTAATTAGATCACAGAACCTATCAAGGCAATGCAGCTGTGTACCAGCCCATCATCAGTCTTTTATAGATGAAGCCCTATAACCTTTTTAACCTTTAAACAGGTTAAATAGCTCATCCAATGACAAAGGTGGTAATGTGGCAGAAAACTATTCGATAAAATGTACCATCCCTCTTTTTTTTTTCCCATTTATTTTTATTAGTTGGAGTGTACCATCTCTTTATTTCATTTTAGAGTTTTCCACTAAAGCTCTCTCCGCTTAACCAGAGCTCTCTAATCTTCACAGTTCAAGTTCAATCACTAGTAGTAACAGATATTCAGCCACACTTTCAGGATATAATTACAGGTTAAATACCATTACTGCAAACCCTAAAACCATAAAACTTTGTACACCATTTCAAATAATATTCAGTTCAGCAAAATTCTAATATGATGAAAAAAGTTGGAAAAATCTTCCAAGTTCCACATTATTTGCTTTTAAAGTCAATTTTCCTCCACAGATGATATACTATTTGTAAACTACAGCTCTTCAATGAAAATACTGAGCAGTCACCAGCTTTACATCACTAACAACCTGACCTTATGTACCTGCTGATGAGATATGAAGAACAAAGTCCATCATCCAAGAAACCTTCTGCTATGGTCTTCATGTTTGTGTCCCCTCAAAATTCACAATGTGGTGCTACTAGGAGATGGGGTCTTGGAAGCATTATTTTATTTATTCAACAGCTCGCTGAGGTAGGCTCTGCTATCTATTTTCTGGATGAGGAACTGGCTAAAGTCACCTAAGTAAACGGCGAAGCCAGGATTCAAACTCAGACTGACTTCGAATTCTGAAGTCTCAGTTCTGCAGACAAATGTCTCCCTGGAAATGACCCCATCCCACTTACCCTTGTTTCTCACTATATTTCAACCAGCATTCTGCACCAGTTAGCCCCCTTTTCCCCTCTACCCTGAAAATACCATATTAAACCTTGTCCCCATACTGTTTGTGTGAATTCCTCAACCTTTCCTTGCAAATTCTACTTTTATGTAGGGTTTCTCACTTCACTTTCCCAGCTTCCCTTGGAACAAAGATCCCTCCTTTTCCTAAAATCCTAATTCATAGCTCTGGTCAGTACCATTTAATTTAGCATTGAATATTCCCTAAGTCCTTCTCCTACAACTAGACCTTAAACTCCTTGAGGAAAATGTAATCCTGTCTCCATCCTAGTGCCTGGAATATCAATACAAACTAGGGAAATAAAAATAAACCTTTCTTAAAAGGTTAGGGACCTCTGGTGACTACTGGTGAAATATCACTGGGTTGGATGCATACTTAGTGCAGTTATTCAAAGCCATCTCAGGAGTAACATAAGCAAATGAAGAGAATGGCTTTCGTGTGCTGTATTTCATTAATTCTTTCTTTTTTTTCACTTTTATAGGGCTGCATCCCATAACTATTGCATGTCAATCTAACAAATTTTTCTTTCTCAGTGGAACCTAAAATAATGGTGCATCTTATAACATATGGAGACTTAGATTCAATGAATTAGGATACAGAGAACAATAACTGTAAAGTAATTAGCCTCCAACTAATAAAAATAAATGGAAAAAAAAAAGAACAATAACGCATAACTACATCTGACAAGCAAGAATGAATAAACTAAACCAGTATACTTTTTTAATAAGAGCACTTACTGTATTACGCTCTTGTATTCGTTGCTGAACCAGCTTTATACGAATTATCTGACTTTAGATGTAATCACCATCTTTATTTTACAGACCTTAAGAAACAAACTTCTAACCCTTAGTGAAAGCAGGTAGTTTGCCCAAGGTCACAGAGCTAGAATTAAGCAGGAGCTTAATTTGGTAATGCCCAAAGGAAGGATGCAAACCCTGGTCCATGACTCCAAAGTCAACCTTATATAAAGTTCCCCTGCCTACTCTCTGGGATATTTTACACTCATTTTATTTTCTTAATCAAGGGTAGTAAATAAATGATGAGTCGATACAATTTTTCAACTCAGTGACATCACCTCTCCTTTTATAGTACTTAAATTCCAGAAGAAATCTCTATTACATTCACAGAAGGTAAGATCCACAAGAACAGTGACCTCTCTTAACTTATTCATTACTCAGTCTCCAGCACACAAAACAGTTAGGCACGTAGTAAGTGGCCAAAAATATTTACTGAAAAAGATAATATTTACTTGTCCTTTACTTTACTGTCGTATGACTTCAAATTTTTCTGAACCTTTCCAAGATGCTAGTAAAATGTATTTATTTATTTATTCACAAATATTTCTGAATTGAAAATGAGGAAACATACTCAAAGGGGGGGAAAAAACCCTGATCCACATTTTATTAACCAAACCAAGGACACTTTCCAACTGTCCTACTGCCCATCACTCCAGCTTCATCATCATCCACTTGTTATTACACTATTCCTACACTACACACTATACTGATACAAAACTGCTTATTTCTCCACAGACAAGCTTTTCCTTGCACAGCTATTCACTTCATCTAGGATGCATTTTCCCACTCCCTCATCCAGTCATCCCTTTAGAGTCAATTATCTTACAAGAAGCCCAACTTTAACAGCCAGACTGGGAAGTTACTTTGGGCTGGAATAATCTATTTACACATGTCTATTCCAACTGGACTGAAAATTTCTCCAGGCCAAGTAGCAAGACACAAGTCCCACAGGTTGGGAAAATTTGTTCATCCATGCCTCCTCTTCCCCAACTCCCAATTAAAGATTCAACAAATGACAAAGATGAAAAAATTACTTGGACCAAATGTGAAGCCACTGATCATAACGTATAAAAATACCGTGAGTAAAAGCCATTTTCTGCCTTCCAACACTTACCTCCACAGTAAAGGACTCGAAGTGGGTAATCTGCATCTAACTTGGTGTTGCTCCTCTGGTCTCCTCTGCAATCATGTCCACCAGATTCAGAAATGTCAGCAGCCATTTCAAAACCTGTCAGAAAAGAAAATAACACAGCTTCACTATTCGGGACCAAGGCCCTGCGAGAAACCCTGTTCGGGTGTAGCCTTGTCTTCCACTAGAAATCCGCCNAAAAACCCCCCCCCCCCCACCCCAAATCTGTTTCAATTCTCTGCTGAATGAAAGGTAAGAAGCTGGATTCATAAAATATGAGTAATTCTGGGCACACCATTTTCCAGGTCTACAGGAAAACAAGCAACAACAGTGAGATTCATAACAAATGGACCATGACAACGGGGAGGTGGGGGGCACCGGTGGAAGAAGAAGCAATGGGAAAAAGGATGGGGAGAGTGACCTCGGTGGAGACAAGGCAAAAGGTTTAGGGGGTGATTCGGAAGGGCTGCAAAGTATAACAGAGAAAGGCCAAGAAGCAGCTGGAGGCTGGAAAAACCTACGAAGAGAGGGTGAAGAAGGAGTGGGTCGCCGGAGGCGCCCAGAGTGCTGGGTGTGGGGGCGGCTGGATGCCAAGAAAGGGACGCTTTAAAGTCGGGAGAGGGGATGGAAGTGGGAGACGGCGGAGACACCAGAGTCTGAGGAGACAGAATACGGGCAAAAGGACCAGGAAGGAGCAGAATATGAGGACTAAGGCAACAAGAGCGGTTAGGTGTGAGGGCGCGACCTGAAGAGAAGGGGGCAACCCCGGGGACACCAGAGTGGCCCATGTGGGCGGGGGTGTGGAGACGCCCGGCCCGGCCCCCTTCCGCCGGACAGCACCTCAGCTTCCCCACGCTCTCTACAAGCTTCTCCGAACGGGAGAGGCACGAGGGGTTATTACCCAGGCGGTCGCACAGCCTCCGCCGCCTCCGCTCCCGCCACTACCGCCAGCTGAAGCGACACATGCGATTCCTCTTCCCCAGCCAGAGCCGCCCGAGAGCGCGTCTACCAGCGGCGGTCCCGCGAGACAATAAGCCTTTATCGCGAGATTCAGTGGCCGCCGGGCGGCTGTCGCGAGAAGCCTGAAGGCTGGGGCGGGGAAGAATTGGAGAGCATGCGCATTTCGCCCAGGGGCGGGGCCAAGCAGCCTAGAGGCTGACAGCCAGTAGGCGGTGCTCGTTACCTGTGGGAGAGGGTGGGTGGTCCGCGGTCGCGGCGCGGAAGGGGGCGCTCTTTGGAAAGCGAAGATAAGCGTCTAAGTCCGCAGTGACTCCTTACTGCCGAGGCGGGGACGTGGCCGTGCCCCTGGGGTCTGGAGTGCATCATTCAGTCCTGACTAACCTCCAGCCTATTGGATGTCATCCCTCCGCGGGGAGATTGCAACTGGAAAAGGCATTTGGTTTAATTTCAACGCCCTACCCTATATTGGCGGAATTCTTTTTAAAAAGACAGTGTCAATGCTATTCCATGTTTCTCATTGCCCTGCAATCTCACCAACCTAACAACTATTTTCACAGCTTCCTGGTGTCTGCTGATCCTTATATGTGTTTTAAATTGGAATTAAACTCTCCCACGTCACTGTAAACTAAAAAATTATTCACAACCTCAAGATTGAGAGTTAGGTTTACTTGGCTGGAGTTTCAGGGCTTCGAGCCTAGGAGGCAGCATCTCAAGTTAACCCTGAGAGAACTGTTCTGGGGAGGGCAGAAGCCAGGCTATATAGGCATTTTGCAGCAAGGAGCAGATTGTCTGAAAATCAAAAGATTATTGTTAATTAAAGAAAATCAGGTATGTCAAGTTAAGAAATTAAGTGATTTTTCTATGTATGAGTAGATGCAGGAACCTGGGCTTACTGAAATCTTTCCTTTAATACACACCTCAGCTACCTGGGGCCAATATTCTGTGTTTTCTCATCCTGTTTCTGCAGGGCTCATTGTAGAGAGTAGCTGTAGTCTGATGACTGCTAGATGGCAGGTATTTTTTTCCTTCCCGAGTTCCCTCAGGGTTCACCAGCTCACAGTTTGGTGGTGATGATGACTGTGACATCCTTTGTTTACTGATACTGCAAGAAATAGTCCATTTCTCATCAGATTTTTACACATGGTGTGTCTTGGCTTTGCTTCCATCTAGTTGTTTCATTTTGGGAAAAAAACCTTCATATCCATCTTCAGCCTGAGTCCAGTTTGGGAAATGAGAATAACACTACAACAGCTAAAGAGATGTGGGTTAGGGAAATGGAGACCAAAAGTGCTTTGTAGATGGTGGAGGTGGTTCTTTTCTATTTTGCTTTTTCCTCCACTCACATCTTTCTCATTCTCCCCTTTCCCTACAACTTCATTTGCCACCAGCAGTACCACCCTTAAATTGTCTGCTCAGAACTTTGTGTGCATGAAGTCATCTAGCATAATCTTTTGCACTGGAGACTGTGACCGCTACTCTGATGTCTTTCTTAAATAAACGAGTGGTTTCCCCCTCTCACAAAAGAGCATCAATTCTAAAAGATATTAATGAAAAAAGATCTTGTTTCTAAGCCTATTTGATTCCAATAGTAAAAGCTTCCATTTATTGACACTTACATGCCAACAATCTGTTCATTTGGGGATCGAGTCCAGGTGACTTCATTTCATAAAACTTGGGTTCTTACTATGAGACGCAACAGACGTGGGTTCAATCCCTGGGTCGGGAAGATCCCCCGGAATAGGAAATGGCAATCGGCTCCAGTATACTTGTCTGGAAGATTCCATGGACAGAGGACACCGGAAGGTTATATGGTCCATGGGGGTCTCAAAGAGTCAGACACGACTGATGCCTGAGAACACCCTATGTGCTGCATGCTGGGGAAACAGTGAACAAGAGACAAAGTCCCTGATCTTATTGAGCTTAACAGTCTTAGACTTACAAAATCCTTACAGTGTAGTGACTGTCTCTGATTTCCAAATAGAGGGTAAAATCGAAGCTCAAAGATGGGGATGCATTGTTTACCTATGCTTAAGACACACAGCTAGTAGCATGTTAATGATCTTACGACATACATATTTTTACATTTTCACGTCTCTCATATCAAGATGTGTTGCATGGAATGGAGTCTTCACGTTGTTGTTGTTTTAGTCGCTAAGTCATGTCGGACTCTTTGTGACCCCATGAACTGTAGCCTGCCAGCCTCCTCTGTCCGTGGGATTTCACTGTGGCATAGTTTAGTTTGGCAGTATTTTTCCTTTCTTAGTGATGCATAAACTAATGGTGCATCTTGCAGTCAGTGGCATCTTAGACACGAGGAAATAAGGATAAGTGACCAGTCCTGTGTAGTAGACCTAATGTCTTCAGTGCCATTCCTCATGCTTTTCCTGCTATGCTTTGTAGAGAAGGGGGAGCTAACTCCTATGACTGAATTCCCAAGCTTTCTTTTTCCTGAGCTTCCAGCTAGTTCAGTCAGTGGGAAGCAGTAATGAGACCATGCCATCTTCTTGGGCAACATCTCCAGCAGTAGCTAGCTGGTTCTCCCTCTGTATAATTTAGGCATCTCAGCTTCTGGGCTCCTATAACATCACCCCCTCCCTAGATCTAGTCTCTAGCCTACTAGTGGTGATTGATGGCTTCTTGCTGCTAATTTCTGAGTGGCTTCACCATCTCTGTTTAGTTTTTAAAGCCCTGAATGAAATTCCCCTCTGCTTTAAATACTTAGATAGGGTTCTATTCTCTAGGTGAACTCTGCCTGACATTGCTGGCATTCAAACCCAGAGCTGTACTTCCTCACGCACTCGTCACAATCTGTCAGCATTCAGGTACCAGAAGGAGGAACAACCTATTGAATAAAGAAACATCACAGTGGTTTCTCTCCAGGAAGCCACAGACTCTGAGAGGCAGGGGAATTATTACAAAGAATACAGGAATCGAGTTGAAGACTAAACATTGTCAGGAAATTGACTAAATATTTTTCAGCCTTAAGTATTACTATTTTTCTAGTGTAAGTTATAGTTTTGTTCCAATGAAATTCCAAGGTTGAATCTGATGGGCTTGTTTCCAATCACCTACGTTCCTAAATCAGTCACCATAATTAGTCAAGCCCTGAGTCAAGTGTCCATTTTTGGAACTGGGTTTGGAATGTGGAAACAGGTTACATCCCAAAGGAAATTTGAGGCACTGTGATCAGAAGAGGGAATGATGCTGAAGTATCAAAACCAACAGACGGTTTACTCCAGCCATCCTCATACTCACGTGTGCTAGAAATTATTTTAAAATCTAGGGCCTTTAGAGACTTCCCTGGTGGTCAGGTGGTTGAGAATCTACACTCCCAATGTAGGGGTCCAGTGCGATCCCTGGATGGGGGAGTAGGTCCCGCATGCTGCAACTGGGATCCAGCATGCCAAAACTAAAAAGATTCCTCATGCCACAAGGAGAGGTTCCCTGGTGGCTCAAATGGTTAATAATCCACCTGAAATGAAGAAGACCCAGGTTCGATCCCTGGATTGGGAAGATCCCTTGGAGAAGGGAATGGCTACCCACTCAAGTATTCTTGCTTGAGAATTCCATGGACAGAGGAGCCTGGTGGGCTACAGTCCATGGTGTTGCACAGAGTCAGACACAACTGAGCGACTAACACACACACACACACACACANTGCAATTGTCCTGTATACACACACACACACACACACACACACACACACACACACACACACGCTGCAAGGAAGATCTCCCACAAGGCAAAGATCCCATGAGCTTCAACAAAGATCTGGTGTAGTTAAATAAATACATATTTCAAAAAATAAAAATCTAGTGCTGTTAACACATCAAGTGGGGGTACAGGTGAGGCAGACTACCTTACTAACAGAATCCTGTTTTACTTGAGGTAGCCACGTGTCCAGCTAAAGATGCTTGATTGCCCAGCCTCCCTTGCAGTGAAGGAGACTAAGTGATGCAATTTTGGTCAATGAGATGTAAGTGGGTGCTGAGAAGGGCATCTCTTCTCTTGGGAAACACTGTGAAAGATTTTTAAATGGACAAAAAAGAATACTGGGTGTCCTGTTTAGCATTCTCTTCAGTGTTATCTTTCCTTGTTTTTGTGCTATTTTACAATTTTATAAGTTGTTGAAAATGGATAGTCATGCAGTTTGCTCTTGTCTATAGAGATGCAAATCACTTCTGTCTAGTGGTGCTGTAACTGATTATTTCTCTGTTGACTAGTTTTCCATCTGCTTGTAAATTCATTTCAGCATTTCTGATTCTTATGTATGTGTATATGAATGCCTATGTGTGCATGTTTTTTAAAATTCTCCCTTGAATTTTGTTTTCACATCCCTTGATTCCCATACTAATTAAGGAATGAAATAAAAATATTGACACGTTTACTTATAACTGGACAAGAGTCATACTTTTTTTTCTTTCGGCCACAACTCATGGCTTACAGGATCTTAGTTCTCCAACCAGAGACTGAAACTGGGCCAGATACCATGATGGTGAGATAACTCACCTAGGGCCAGACATCTTGGAACGCGAAGTCAAGTGGGCCTTAGGAAGCATCACTACGAACAAGCTAGTGTAGGCGATGGAATTCCAACTGAGCTATTTCAAATCCAAAAAGATGATGCTGTGAAAGTGCTGCACTCAATATGCCAGCAAATTTGGAAAACTCCACAGGACTGGAAAAGGTCGGTTTTCATTCCAATGCCAAAGAATTTTCAAACTACCACACAATTGCACTCATCTCACACACTAGTAAAGTAATGCTCAAAATTCTCCAAGCCAGGCTTCAACAATATGTGAATGGGGAGCTTCCAGATGTTCAAGCTGGATTTAGAAAAGGCAGAGGAACCAGAGATCAAATTGCCAACATCCATTGGATCATCGGAAAAACAAGAGAGTTCCAGGAAAATCATCTATTCCTGCTTTCTTGACTATGCCAAAGCCTTTGACTGTGTGGATCACAACAAACTGTGGAAATTTCTTCAAGAGATGGGAATACCAGACCACCTGACCCGCCTTTTGAGAAATCCATATGCAGGTCAGGAAGCAACAGTTAGAACTGAACATGGAACAA